AGTTCCCGAAATTCGAGGACCAGTATGCACAAGAGGTTTCTAGCTAGTGGAATTTCGAGTAATCTTGTTACCGCACGAAACACTGCAAAAACACATGATCGCGCGGGGCCCCCAGTGCGCGTCGCTAATGATTTTCTCATGTGCCTCACCTATGAACATTATGTTTTTAATCTGGAGCGCATTGGTCTTTTTCTCTCCCGATTAGTTAATCTAGATGCAGAAATTTTACGAGTGTGTTGGCGTATTTTTGCACCACTGACGGTGCAAAATTAGCTTTAACTAACGGTCTCTTCTGTCGCCTACGAATCCTGCATAAGTTAGAGTGCAGAAACGCGGGCAGCCTTTAAGTTAATGCTGTAGGTTGAGACTTCTCTCTTATCCGGGCGATACAGCACGGTCATTCCAGCGAACGTCGCTCTCCCACCACATGCAAGAAAAAAAGCGAAAACATCGCTAACATGAATGCGCATGTTAAACTATTGAGTATCGACCATCAATATTGTTAATGATTCTACTGTTTAAAGGTTCGCAAAGAAGCGCATAAATGCATCGGTAATAATGGTGCGTTTTGTGTTTTAATGAAGCGACGATATTAGTTGACATTTTTCGTAGTAGTCAATCTGCAGGTGAAAAGTATCGCGGATATGTTCCACTTTGAGCGATGGCTGTATGCAGCAAGTGGCTTCTCCATTAAGCAGTTCGATGTAATCAGCGAAAGCAGTCAAAAGCCAGTAGTTTATGAAGTAAATGAAACACTGGGGAAAATGGAACGGATCTTTTTGCTGTACGGACAGGTCCAGTCAAGAGGTACGCGCTCTGCTTTGTAAGGCATTTTTAAAAATTTTCCAAATATCGAGTTTTTTTTTAAGCGAACTGTAGTGCTATGTAGTCAGCAAGGAATTTTCAAAATGTAAGAGAACATGTGGCCAGCTCTAAGGGAAAATATTTTTAGCAGTTTGAATCAGCAGTTTTTCAGTGTTTGCACGAAGCATTTTATGGCAAGACTATAAGATTATGAGAGCAAAATGCATGATCAAGCTAACTCCACGGTGCAAGCCGCTATTTTTGGACTCGCCGTTGTAAAGCTGTAGTGC